TGCACCCAACACTAATGATAAAGGACTGATCACAAAAATCTGCAAAGAGCTGATGAGACTCAGCAACAACAAAGAAAATAACCCAGTCAAAAAATGGGCAGAAGAGCTAAAAAGAAACTTCTCTGAAGAGGAAATGCAAATGGCCAACAGGCATATGAAAAAATGTTCAACATCACTTGTCATCAGGGAAATGCAAATCAAAACTACCATGAGATACCATCTTACACCAGTGAGAATGGCACATATTAAAAAAACTAGCAACAACAAATGTTGGCGAGGGTGTGGAGAAAAAGGAACTCTCCTGCACTGTTGGTGGGAATGCAAACTGGTCCAACCACTATGGAGAGCTGTGTGGAGATTTCTGGACCTACTAAACATAGAGCTTCCATATGATCCAGCAATTCCACTCCTAGGTATTTACCCAAAGGACACAGAAACATCAATTCCAAAGAACACCTGCACCCCTATGTTTATAGCAGCACTGTTTACAATAGCTAAGCTTTGGAAACAACCCAAATGCCCAAAAATAGATGACTGGATCAAGAAGATGTGGTACATATATACCATGGAATATTACTCAGCATTCAAAAAAGATAAACACATGCAATTTGCAGCAACATGGATGGCGCTGGAAGGGATCATGCTCAGCGAAATAAGCCAAAAAGAAAAAGAAAAATACCGGATGGTCTCACTCATAGCAGGAATCTAGAAAACTTAAATAAGGGATCAGGAAAATGAATAACTATAAGAAAGTGAAAATCAAAATCAACAAAAAACTATGAACCAGAGACACTTTTTGGGGGGTGGGGGCCGGGAGGGGAGGGATTGGGGTCAGAATGGGGCATGTGCAGTTGTATGGGGGAATATAAAAATAAAATTTATTATTTAAAAAAAATGTATTTATTTATTTATTTTAAAATTTATTTATTTATTTATACAAGCACTGGGGTACAGGCCAGAGGCATGGGAGGGTGAGAGAATTCACCAGAGACAGAGTGGGGAGCAGAACATGCAGATGGACCGAAAACACTACTGAGGGGAGAAGTGGGCGAGACAGGAGAGGTCTGCTGTGTCATGTGGATATCTCCCTGGCCAGCCCTGAATCGAACCCATGCTGCAGAGGCTGAGGACAGCTTCACAGAACTATGCTCAACCTGCTGTGCCACTGGGAGGACCAACCGCCCACCTTTTTTCACAGAAGTAATTCTGGGCCACTTTGCAGGAACAGAGATCCTAAGCACAGCTCACTGACCTTGCTGAATTGAGGAGGCACAGATTTGCAGTTAGGTATACTAACTAGGTGGAGTAGTATTGTAGAAAGGAAAGATCCATGCAGGAAATTAGAGTTCCAGAAATCTGCATCAAATTTTTATTAGGTTTCAGATCAATACTAAATCACATTGGCAAAGGGTAAAACTCCACAATGTCAGACAGAAATTCTGTAAGCTGAACAATTCTCAGACCTCATGTGGATTTGGAAGCTAATTTAGGTCTGACTTGTTAGAGTAGCGAGAAGTTGTGAACAATCAGGGATTTCAACAGAAACACAGAAGGGGCATGACTTAGTAATGACTTAGGTTTAAGCAAGCCCTAAGTTCTCTCTATACCAATCTGCAAAACTTAAAGCAAGCCTCAAAAAGATCAAGCTGATGCTCCAGTAACTTCACTGACTGCCAGAACAAAGACCAAGTCTAAATGAAGAAAACAAAATCTTTACTCTCAACAACATAAGATTTAAAATTCCTGAAGCAAATAAAAATCACTGCAATGTCAGTGGGTAGAAAAACATGAGTCACAATTGGGAGAAAAATAAGTCAGTGGAAAACTCATAAATGTCAAAATGATGGAATATGTGGACAATGATTTAAAAATATTCCAACCTAAGGACTGGATAATAGAATGTTCACCAACCACTAACTCCTATCTCTCAAGGAGAGTTGCCCCTGAGGACATTAAGTCACAGACCATCCTGCCTGTGAACTGAGCAAACTCTCTCTGTAATGCCCAATCTCCATCATCAAATGTAGAAAGTCTTCAGGAAGGAAAGCAGAAGACAGGAGGTCCTGAGTTGGACAGTTGTCACACATGAGAATGTTACCATGGCAACTACAGAATTCATAGGTGAGTGGAGAGGATATAGATCGGGTGCTTCAACGGTGAAGAAGGACAAGACTTTTTCCCTTATCGTAGTATGAATAGTCAGTAAAAAAGAGAATAGCATCACCTGTTACTCTAAATTACCCCTGTCTGTCACTGCTGCCATCCCCCAGTGTCTCTCAAGTTACTTCTAAAAGTCCAGAGAGAATATCTAAGGAGGACTCACAGGAAATCCAATGATAGAGTAGTCAGCCATACTTCCTTCTCCTTGGCTCTAGCTCTTTGGTAGCATTGCTCAGGAAACCTCAGTCACCGCTCACTATTGTTTCCTGCTGATGACCTCTCATAGTGCTGATGTATCATATAATGTTCTTTTCCTGCTTCCTTTACCTCATGACCACCAGCTCACACAAGCTTATGTCCCACTTCCTGCATAGCTCTCTTACTCGAAACTGCCTGTACTTGCAAAGTCTCAGGGCAATTTGGTGTGAAAACTACACTTGGTATCCACTTGGTTCAGGACTGATACTAAGACAATGTCCATGGAGTTGACCAATGGCAGATTTCTGAAGCCACCATTAACACTTAATCTCTGCAACAATTTTAGAAAGTATATTCTGTTATTACCTCCACTCTATAGAATGGGAAATGAAATTGGGGGTAAAGAAACTTGTCCAAGAAAATAGTCAATAAGTGATAGAGGTAGTATTTAGTCCCAATTCTTTAATACTTTCATCTTTAGCCACCATGTGAATGACTTTATCTTCTTTCTCCATTTTATGCTCTGTGTTCTATATTGACAAAAGCTATGTGAACTCAAGGTAATGGTTGAGTATAAGGACTAATTTTTGATGTGAATACTTTATTAAATACTTAGAGTCCTATTTGCAAGTCCTCTCCCTTGGGATTAGGGAGTGGATGCTGGCATTTTTTGAGCTTCTAGAATACCTTGCATTTATTTATTTCTGTATGGTTCACACATTTTCTTTCTTCTCATTTATAACTAATAACATTGGAAGATTCCATTATTTTTAACTTTTTAAGTACAAGAAGCAGCTCACAGTGGTTATATCTCTTGTCACTTAGAGCCCTTATTTACCTGACTCCTTTGGGCAAGACAGAACTTGACCCCAAGAATTCAGGCCTCTAGCCCTGCCTTCCTGTTTCTGCTGAAGCCTTTTACCCAAGGGATCAGGATTACCTGAGTGTGCGGTCAGCAGATAAGCACACACCCCACACATCCATAGTCATTCCTCTTTTGAAATTTGCGGTGTGGTTTCTTTTAGATGATGGGAATATTGCCTTCCTTGATGTACCAAGTCTGTTTCTATGTTGGAAATCTGAAATGCTGCTATCATCCAGTGGCAGTGTTGAATACCAGCTTCCAGAGGGTTTTCTCAGGCTAAACAATCTATCAATTTCCATAAAATTTGTACTAGGAAGAGAGAGAACTGATGCAAACAAATCTTAGAATATCCCATTTGATAAATTGGTATAAAGGAATGAGATAACACTTAAATTCAGTGAAATTTACTTATATATGAAAGCCGGAAAATTGAACCCAAATGTTAATTAGCTTGGGGTTTTTTTGCGTGTGATTTTTTGTTTTTTTTTTTTTTTTTTTTTGCACAGAACAGCTGGGGTGCAGGCCAGAGGTTTCGGATGTGATATGTGTATGAGAGAATTCACCAGAGATAGAGTGGGGAAAAGAATAGACAGATCTACTGAAATACACTGCTAATGGGAGCAGTGATTGAGACAGGAGAGGTCTACTGCATATGTGGGCTAGCTCCCTGGCAGGGGCTGTAACTCAGGCAGTAGTGGTGATAGTACTGAGACTTAATCCCTAGGCCATCAGGGAGGCCCACCAATAGATCTTTTTTAAGTGAAATATTGAGTTACTCACCTTTTCTACTTTTGATGTCCAAAATTGACTTTTGAAAAAGAAATCACTTTCCCCTAATTTTATTGTCCATTTCATTAAATTGTTAATAGTTGTTTGAGAAAGCATTTAGCAAAAGCAATGAATTTAGAACCCTTATTAAGATAGTTATAAGATCGTGCCTTATGGGAGGTAAACTTGAATAAGAAGGTAACAAGGAGCTCCTTATAAAATAACAACTTCTATCAGTCACTCTCATGCAGAGGGGAAAGAGGGCAGGCTGCAGAATTTAGGGAAGCACATTCTGTGTAAGTAAGAGCCAAGGGGAGCAATAGCTATAACCAGATGAAATTAAGCACAACTTAAAGCTTGATGTACCTATGTAGCAAATTGGATGTAAAAAAGCAAATTAAGAAGCATTGTGTAAATCATCACATTATCAACTAAAGGTAGCTTTTTTCTGAAGAAAAATGAAACAAACATTCTTCATTTTAAAATACTTTATTTTCATGTTTGTTACAAAAGCATCAAGAAATAGTTCAATCTCTCTGTTCTAAAATAGAAACAACTCTAAGATATAGAAAAACAATTCATATTTTATATTAAACAAGGCATTATGCCTTACAAGAAAGACATAAAATGTCCAAAGGATATTGAGAACACGGTAGTTCCTAAAACTCCAATGTGAGAAATGTCTCCACATACTGTGAAATCATTTCAATAAATAACAACTGGTATCCTTTAAACAGTTACAAAAATATCCATGCATTCCCCTATTCTACTGATAATGACCTCACTTTCTTGGGTCCGTAGCCTCAGTCACAGCGGTGGGCATGCTGTGGATTCCTTGGGAATACTAGTTTAATGACTGGAGAACACTTGCAAACTCTTACCATCAGTTTAAAGAAGAATCAGGATGGAATTAATTTGGGTTTGACATAAAATAAGCAATAAAAATAATGGTACAATATTCAAGTTATATCCTTAATTATTTTACATGTAAGATATTAACAATCTTTGACAACCAACCAACCAATAAATAAATAAATAAACAACTTCTAAGAGATGATCCAACATAGTAAGCCCAATGCAAGTGGTCACAGGAGCCCATGATTCTTCTTTTCCTCTTTGATTCCTGTAAGGTCAGGACCTGCTGCTGTTAGAGCCACAGATCGATTTCATCCTTCCTCTTGTTAGTTGGGGTTTTGCCTATAAGAGAAGAAGACAGTCGTTAGTAGCTGCTCAGCAGAGCTAGCAGCATGGTGCTCCTTTCCTGCCCTCCAGGTTCCAAAATTTCCTGAACCTCTTTCCCCAGCCTGGCACCAACTGGCTGCTGCCTAAGCTGTGTGGCAGAGACCTCTAAGCTCTTGAATGCTCTTATTTAGGAATGTGGATGGGATTTGTGGTCCCTACTGAATTATTGTCCACAAACAGCCAGAACCTGTTACTCTAGGACCATGTCACACAGGGTCTTGCTTAGCCTCCTGGCGACCCTGCAGTCACTACTATTGTGTCCCTGTTTTACAGTAAATCAAATAATTGTCCTTGAGTCACCTTGCTAATAGGTGGTGGAACCCTGATTTGTACTGTAGGCAGTGTCACTGCCAAGTTCTAGCTCTTCACCATTAAGCTTGTGCTGCAGAAAAGCAAGGGTTCTAGTGTGAGCCCAGAAGGGACTGAAAAGAATGCCTGTGCTTTTAAACAGGTGGATAGTTTTTTTTTTTTTTTTAAGATTTATTTATTTGTTTATACAAGCACTGGGTACTGTCAGAAGCGCAGGAGGGTGAGAGAATTCACCAGAGCCAGAGCAGGCAGAAGGACCGAAGTACACTGCTGAGGGGAGCAGTGGGCGCGGCAGGAGAGGTCTGGGCGCCATGTGGGATCCTCACCGGTGGCCAGAGATTGAAACGGCATTGAAGAGGCTGTGGACAGCTGCGCAGCCCAGTGCTTAACCGCTGCACCACCGGGGGAGGCCCTGAGTGGATATTTTTAAGCATAACTAACAACACCTATGAGAACTTTAATGAAGGCAGCTTTACCCACATTCATTTAAATGGGGATAAGGCCAGGAAGATGGGTGAAGGGCACTAGAAATATGCTGTCACCAGAGCAGATTAATAACCTTAATAGTGAATTCAGCTCTGAACTATAGTGATTTCCAGTCCTTCACCGAACCCGACTTTCCAGGGTACATTTGCAGGAGGCAGGTGCCAGTATTTGAGACTCTTGGTCTAGTCACCTATGACTCAACCCAGAACTCACTTTTTGAGCATCTTTTCGATGATTTTCTTAACCATGGGGGCTGCAGGGTTGAGACAAGCTTCCTGCCCATTCTTGAGAGTGGCTCTGCAGAAAGAAGGGGGAATCCGGTGAGGCAGGAGGTCCGACTGAGGCCAGGTGGAGGTACGGGGACATGGGGGTTGGGGGGACAAGCACAACAGCAGCATCACTTACAGGACTTCCGTTTGGTCGCAGTGGGGTCCTGGGGGCGTCACCTTCACACTCTGGATGTTCTTGAAGTGAATTCCCTGCACGGTCTGCAGGCACTGGCAGCGCAGTTCACTGACCACGGGCTGCCCTGCGGGAAGAACAGGCTGGCTCAGCGGGGATGTCCCGATGGGCGCCCACCCACCCCTATCCTGTCCGTAGGGACCCGGGAGCACCGGGCTTTACCTGCTGCGCGCCGGCAGGCGGCGACCAGAAGCAGGAGCAGCATCGCAGCCCGGAGGAGCCGGGGAGCGCGGGGTGTAGCTGGGGAGGCGGCGCGGGCCATGAGGTCGGCTTGGAGATCTGGGCTGCGGTGCCTGGAGCAGAAGAGTTGATGTGGAGGATGCCTGTGGTGCTGACTGTGACTCCCTGAGATGAGCGAACCCCTTTTATCCATGGTCGGGGCGGGAGAGTTAGCAGCATCGGGCCGGGAAATTCCCAGACCTGCAAATCTCAGCCGGGTGGGGAAGGAAAAGGGCCCTTCCCTCTGGTTGGAAGGGGGAGAGGTGACCCGCGGGTGCAGCCCCGCCTCCACTCCCGCGTAACTCCACAGCCTCTGGGATTTTCTCTGTCCTCACGAGTCCCCAACGTAGGAGTGAATAGGAGCCCCACTGGCACGCTGCCCGCGGCGGGTTGGGGAGACACTGGGCGCACGGTGACCTCAGTGCACAGGGCACAGGAAGGCAAAGCTCTGGAGGTGATCCAGGAGACCCCTGACAGGGGCGGGATGATGACTTGAGAATGGAAGTTAAGTCGTTGGTTATCAGAGCTGGGTGAGTTAGCCTAGCCACCCTCTTGTCTCTCTTTCAGTTTTGTATATTTCTTTCTTTTAAAAAAAAATTAATTTATTTATGCATACAAGAACTGGGGTACAGGCCAGAGGTGCGGGGGCTGAGAGGATTCACCAGAGACAGAGTGGGGAACAGAACAGGCAGACTGACAGAAATGCACTGCTGAGGGGAGCACAGGTCATGTGTGTAGCTTCCTGGCTGGGAATCCAACCTGCTCTGCAGAGGCTGCGCACAGCTTCAAAGCGCAGCGCGCAACCGCCTGGGCCATCAGGGAGTTTTGTATATTTCATATGACTGATATGCAGACTCTTAAAAATACACGGTCAACTCAGAATCCAGAGAACAGTGTTCAACCTGGTCCTGCCAAATCACACGGAATATCTTGGTTTGGTTTTCCAGTTGGTGAGAACAGGTCTGCCTGTTAAAACTTGAATCCCCTGCTAATTTCAGTGAAAGTTGAGGGTTGTCACAAGACTGACCTCTTCTGTTTTATCCTGTTGAACTTCCTTATTCTCTCTGAATTGTTGTAACTTCAAAAATTCCCAAGAGATCTCCTTTCATGTATAGAAGGGGCTCAGATTTGCTCTATAAAATACTAGACTGACGGTCACTGAAGCTGTGCAGGGACTGGAGGGGAAGGCTCACAAGGTTCACTTCTGACAGACTCTAGAAAGTGAGCCCCTGCAGAGTAGCACCCTTACTCTGGATGTTCCTAAATCTGAAATTCCTAATCACATATAAAATTCAGTTCCATTTGCTGCAGGACCTTCAGTGTTCCTTGCCCTTTCTCTAGAAACATTGACATGGTTCTGTTTTCTGATCAGGAATTTCAGTCATTTAGCCTAATACCTTTATTGTGTTTTCACTAGAATTTTAGAGAAATTTGAGTAATTTGATTTTTGGTACAAATGGCTTAAGTGTGATACTCCAGGTTGGATTCAGATCCATTGGAGACATTGGAATAAGATAGTGGGAGGACAGGCTGAGGTGAAAAAAAACGGCCTCTGGCCCAGGATGATATCTAGGGACAGAGCTCCAGGCAACCAGCTACAAGACTTCGGCATTTACTGCAGGCCTTTGAACAATCTGGGTTTGGACTGTATGCAAATCCAATTATACCCAGACCATTTTTTTTTTTCAATCCTGGGGTTCTGCATTCAAGAATTCAAACAAAGTGTATAATAGCCTATAAGGAAGGCCACTATAAATGATACCTGTATTTTCACTAAAGGTTTGCTCAAGAGTCAACTGTAGTTCCCATATAACCTGCAAGTTGTTATTCATTTCTTTGCTACCCCAAAGTGGTTATAAAATGTGAGTCAACATGTGTGAGAGCCAGCAGAGATTAAGGGTTTTGAAATGTTTGTTAAATAAAATGGAAATAGTTTTTTCAACATTGCAAAATAGAAACTCAGTCATCTGTGAATATTTCTATAAAAAAATGGTAAGGAATGGTTCACTTTTGAATTTAAAAATTAAAAACTATTAATTTAAAGTTGAAAGTATTTCAGAAAGGAAACACTAGAGATGCATTTTCATATATTTTTTTTCTTTTTACCATTTTAAGCTCTATCACTGATTTATTTTGTAGTTCTATTGCCAATCATTTTATCTATAAAAGAGGAAAATTAAAGATTCTCCATCTTATTAATCAGAAAGAGTTATAAAATAAATGACTGTCAAAAATACTCTTAAAGGGAGATCAAAATTTGTGACAGGCAGTGGGAAATGAGAAATAATTTAAAAGTTGTAAAGTATATGGCTAGCTCATGAATAATTAGGAATTTTTGTGGTTATACCTCTTGTTATCAATTGTGTTTTAGGACTTGATGGGAAAATGTCCCAGAAATATGCAAGTTATTCTTTAAAGCTTGAACAATGTTTCATTTTGTTTTCTAATTGCCATTGTGATAGAGGCCCATTTTATCAAGTTTATAAAAATCAGAACGGCATAAAGAGATTATTTTTATCTCTTAACTTTTGTCTATGGAACAAACTTTAACAGGTGATTGAAAACATTTTTCTTCAACAAACAGTAGCTGTTTGTTGTTATAAACAAATTATAACTACTTAAAGGAGCTGGAAAATAATGAAATAAGCTGCTTCCTTTATTTAGTTGCAACAAACCTTGGTCACTATTAAGCTTCTGTACCACCCCAACGTGCAGACACTTACTTTGTGTTAAATTCCAGATGTTTTTAGGAGCTTTACAAATATTGAATCATTCAATCTTCCAAACATATCTCTGCATTAGATATTACTGTTATCTTTATGAGACTTTGAAGTTACCAGGATAAGAAATGAGGTTCAGAGAGGTCATACAGGATATTGAGATTCAATTCCAGAGAGAAGGGCTTTTAACATTAAGCTATGACAAAATTACTCTGTGATATATGGTTAAGAATCTCTGGAGTGGTGGGCCTCCCTGGTGGTGCAGGGGTTAAAGACAGCTCTTTCAAGCTGTCACCAGCCACTGCAGTCTGAGTTCCATCCCCGGCAAGGGAGCAACCCACATGGCGCAGCAGACCTCTCCTGTCTTGCCCACTGCTCCCCTCAGCAGTGTATTTCAGTAGACCTGTCTGTTCTGCTCCCCATTCTCTCTGGTGAATCCTCTCACCTCCCACCCAGCATCTCTGGCCTACAACCCAGTTTTTGTATGCATAAATAAATAAATCTTAAAAAAAAAAAATCTCTGGAGTGGGTTTTTAAAGACCTGTTTGTTATTCTTCTAGTTGAGTGGTTCAAATTTACTTACTCTAAAATGCAAACACAGCAAATAGTCATGCATCTCCATAGTTTTGTTTTACTAACATCTTCTTTTTAAATATTTGTTTCTTTGTTTTACTAACATTGTAGCTACCCTGTGGCCTATACAGAGCTCCTTATATTTTCCTAAAGTGTTTTTTTTTTTAAGAGGTAACTTTTACCTTGGAGAAATCGTACAAATATCCATGAGACCAAATGACAAAGGTTCATGTCATCTGTGTCAGGTGGCTATCAGGTACCCCCTGAAATGATATGATGAGAAGGAAACTACATAACATTGATATTCTTCCAGAAGTCTATAAGACCAGTGAAGCCCTAAGAAAAACATTCCTCAAACCTAAATTGAGAAATATTAATTAGCTCACTAGTACTCTTCCAAGTCAAGGTCATGAAAAATAAGAGAAAGTATAAGAATGATCTCAAGTCCAGAAAAAAGTATGGAGACATGAAAACTAACCACAGGATTGTGCCCTGGAGTGGATCCTGGAACAGAAAGTGGAAACACTGCTGAAACCCAAATAAAGTCTGGAGTGTCACTAATAATAAAGTGCCCTTCTTGGTTTCTCAGCTTTGGTAAATGCACCACAGTGATATAATTGTTCACATTAGGGGAAACTTGGTGAAGTTTACACAGAAATTACCATCTTAAATTTATACATCTTAAATTTATACATCTTTGTATAAATTTAAAATTATTGCAAAATAGAAAGTTGTTTATTTTTTTTTAATACTCCTTCTAAATTAACTTAGATTGCCATCAAAATAAAATCAGTGAACATGACTGTGTTGCCTGGTAGATTCCTAGAAAGGAAATTGAATTTTTGTTGAGTTCAAATTTGCTCAAGTATGAAAATCTTAATTATCTGCTGCCCAGTTTGGACACTTTATCATGTTTCCTAGACTTAAATAGTTGTCTTCAGCATTAATCATGTCCAAATCTCTTCACTGTTTCTTGTAACTGAGGAAAAACGAAGTGTTTGCTGTAATGGTCTCCAGACCCAACCCAAATCTGACGTAAATGCCAGTGTTTGGGGAGAGTAGAGCATCAATTTAAGTATATGAGCTGCCAAAAAAGGGAAGCGAATGAAGCATGTCAAGACATAGTCAACATTTATAGACTGTAAAGAGTTTGTCTCCTGGGAATGACTGAATTACAATCATTTGTTTTTGAAAATGAAGTAAAAAGGGAAGGTTCCCCCCACCCCAAGGATTGTTATTTTTTTCTTAATATGCACTTGAATCCTTGATCTCATCAGCCAAAATGCAAAAATATTTATAAGCATAGGAATGCTGTAGTCTAGCACAATAAACAAATTCATTCTCTTGTTGGAACAAATATTTCTTCAAATATTACTTTTGCAAAGAGCTGAATGCCAAGTTTTTATGCACAATCTTTTAATGCCTGCAAGCAACTCTTAAGGTAGGAATCTTTGGTGGTTAAATACCACATGCCTCATAATCAGTCTGAAAAATTATGAATTTTTCAGAATGGATGGTAAAATCCAAGTTGCTCAAATCTTCTAGGTGAGTGTTTTACCCCATAGTTGCAGAACCAACTGTGTGCAGGGGTGAACTTATAGTTCCTTCCTTAGCTGTACCAGGGATATTTCCACACCAAAGTTTCTCTTTTACCGCCACGGAAAATCCTTTTTGAATTGGAACCAAGAGGCAATTAATAAATATTTCCCTCTTCTTCCATATTTTAGGCAAATATTCTTTATGATTTCTC